AACGTGTTACACGAACTGCTATTAAATATAGACTATATCATAAGAAATCAAGATATGACCCAATTGAACAAGGACCCATACTATCCATTACGTGTTCAGGGTCTTATTCTTAATGACTTCCTGAAATATAATTAAATCGATTAAAAATTAGAAAAAAATACAGTTCTTTGACACTATAAGTTACTGTAGGAACTGTCAATTCGAAGCTCCTCTTACTAGAAAATTTTAAAATTTTTACCATTTAATATACGAAAGAACTATATCATATTACTAGATCGATATGGATAAGAAAAAAGGCTTTTTTGAGCAAGGCACCGAACGTGACATAGATCACCTTGATAATAGACCCAACCTAGAAACATAAAGACAAAAATGAAATCACAAAACGTTCAGATAACTAGTTGAATATAAACAATAGTTGATTTTAGTGACGAAATCAACAATAGCCTACAAGTTGGTGTATTGAAATATGATACAGTTTACTGTGACCGTGAACAAAAACTTTGAATTAAACTTTAGTATTGTAGATAATTTAAAGTTCTTGTTTATAATCAAGTTTATGCCCTGTGCCAAAAGTTACTTGCTAGAAATCTAATCGTTTAGGAGAGAGCTGACAAATTCAAATGTCTGTTATACAAAATTTTCATCCAGTACTAATTAAAATTAAATTATAAAATTTATAACAACATATAAACAGTGCCTCCGAGAGAATGGAGAACTATCGGTACAAAGACCATTTTAGCCCCCCTTTATACAAATAACATAATGATATTGAAGAAGAAAAAAATAATCTAGTATAAATGTTAGCCATATTTCATAAATTGGAAAAAATCAGAAAACTGACAATTTTTTAATTTCTTCCCTTTGATGGGCCTGCTAAAGCTCATTGATTTCGGGGTGGCATCTCCCTGGGGCCTGCATATAACATATTTAAATCAATTTAGAAGTTGCACTAGTTCAGTTTAATCTCGGTGTACAGTACAAAAATATACTATTTAATTTTATTATTTTTATTTTGTATAAATGCATGATTAAGTTTCCATTAATTTAACTAATGTTTCTATTATGTTAACTGAATAATATTTGTAATAAAATTCAACCTTTTTATTATAAGTATTAATGGGTGAATAGGGGTGCACGCCCTTATATTCACTTTTTTGTTAGTATTCACCTACAAACCATGTCAAGGATTACTGATTTTTTTCAAATTAATAGTAAATAAAATTTAGTGAAATTATGGAAAACAAAAAGTCTTATGAAAAAAATTAACGTGAAAGAAAGAATAATTTCAGCAATTAAAAAAAGAGTCAAAGATGTCTTTGTTTTATAATATAGAAGTCACGTGAGTGGTGTATAACGACCTCTAAAATTGCTCATGACTAACGAATACTTCTACAGTAGTAATACGCAGTAATTGGCCATACTTCGAGTTTCAGTTACGCTTTGTTGGTGCGCAAACGAAAAAGGAAGCAAAAAACATCTGCCAACACTCCTGTTCTCTTACTTAATTATAGGCTATCAACAAAAGACTTCTTGTATTAAAAATGCATGCAAAAAAATTGGTTTGCAATGGGTGAACCAATTTTCCATTTCGATTTTCCCGATAGTAAATCAGTATTAACTTAATTTATGTAGGTTTATAAACTAAAATTGGTCGAACAGAAAAATCCATTAACCCAATCCGAGTAGGAAATCTTTCTTGTTGAATGCATTTTCCAAAAGAACTCGAAGTGTGACGTTACAGAAGATGAGCATCAGTTCGGAACTAATGGATACATGACACCCTTCCATAATTTAATGATAACTTAGAGCCATTGTATGCATCGTTAAAGAATTCAATCCTTGATTAAGATGACGCCCATGAGACTTATCAATGTAAAAATATGCTTTTCATTTTGTATCTCATCCTGTTTTTTTGTTGCGACTCTATCTTTGTGTATTCGTCGATGGGGAGGATACGTCTTAAGTTTGACATGACTATAGATGTATTTAATGATTAACGGGTGAAGAACACTTGCTCCGGGTCAAGAATGGTCACGCGCTCTCAAGTAGTGATATAATTTCATTTCAGTCTGTCGTTGCTTCAGTTTTATTGCTTATATTAATTTTTAAAGTATTAATAATAAAATATAACGCCCATTTTCGTGAATAATATGAAAGGTGAAGCCTTATAAGAGGTGCCATTTAGAAATATAATTTTTTTATTTAGTATTAATGTTTTAAATATGAGGCAAGAACTTCAGAATTCCGTGCTTTTGTATAATAAATATCATTGTAAACTGCCTGAAATTGAATGGAAAAAAGTTAAGTTTTCGTGGAATTCAGTTTGCTTTAGAAGTTCTAAGACCGAAAGAACAGGGTTTAAGCGTTTTTCATAGAAACGGTTTTTAATCTTTGTAATGAAAAATACAGTAGAATCCAGAAGTTCTGCATTATCCGAGGCGATCCTACTTTTCTTATACTATAATTTATAAAAGAAAGGTTGATATATTGATATGTATTGTCATTTTAAAATGATAATACGTATCAATATTATTACGATATATGTATCACGATGTACAAATAAACCGCAGTTTCACTGAACACTAGGGTGCTGCAACGATACTTCAGGGGTGCCACGAAGTAGTGCGGAGCAGTACCATAATAAAAGTATGAAAAGCGCAATGACTCTAGGTGCTGCAAGAAAAAAAATACTAAATTGGAGATGTCACTATTAAAAAAAGATTAAAAACACGGCACTAAGATGTAAGAAGAGACGTATAAAAATCTTTCATGCTCGTAAATTTTTAATTCGAAATGGTTACGACTGTTTTATCTGAGATTTCGGTTATCCGAGATAGTATCTGTCCATATTACCTCGGATAATCGGGGTATGTACTAATGTAGATTGAAATTATCAGTATCGAAAGAAGCTGAACAATTTTTTGGATATTTTCCAAAATTATCAATAGTAAGAATAGAAAATGTGGGAATGTCCCTGTCACTGCTATACAATGTAATGTAGTACAAGATTTATAGTTCAAGTACGGTGGATAATTAATTCTACTAGTCATTTGATGCTGAGAATTTCCAATTAAAAATTTTAAAATTTATTTTAGTTATTTAACTACCAAGTCCGTAAGACTAAGTGTTTTTTAAGAGACAATTACAAACATTCTCCGTTTGCCACCTTAACTCCATTGTTTTTTTCTCCTTAAACAGAGCATTTCTTTTCGTTGTATGTTGGAATAAACTACCAAGAAATCTTGTTAACCTTTTTTACAACGAACTTGGCAGATATTTGAAGAGTGTAAAGAAACCAAGTGGTGCATTCTTCAAGGATGGTTGGACAGACGTTCTCCATTCCTAGTGGCCTGTTGGCCCATCTTGTTTCCTGTGTATTTAATTTCTCTGGTACGTGTCTCGTATCACGCTTATGGCTATTAAGCGTGAAGGTGGAAAAGAAACGAATGTTTCACCAGCCGTGAATAAACACATGGCCTCTTCAGTAGGTCAAGTTGATCTTCGTGTCGTGATCTTGACATTCACCTATCTTATGTATTTCTTTCGCTGTTTCTCAAGTGTGCAACTCTTAAACATTTTAAATTGTTTTTTAACGGCTGCAACAAAATTTTTATTTTCTATTATTTAAGGAAAGCTTTACGTAAAGGAGCAAAGATATTTCTGAAAATTTTCCAGGTTCATTAATTATTATGCACCTTTTTTGCACTCTTGGCGGTTCTACTCATCCGTAAAATATGAATAAAGTGCAGCGCACCTTATAGGTATTTAGTTAACATCGAAAAGGTGCAGCCAATTGGATTACTAAGTCACTGTTACTAGGTGTTTAGAGCAGGCAGTTTTTTCTCCCTTCTCCAGGTGTAGCCTATAGGACAATAGTCTGCAACACCGGATGTGAAACAAGACAGTGCACGCAGGAGCATCGTCTATCGTCTGACGCGTGCATCCTGTCTTTTTCCATTCTCACGATGCAATTACAGCACTTCTCTATTCCCAGATGATTTGTGTTAGTTGTAAAAAATCACAGCTTTCAGAGAAAGTACCTGTTGCCGTGATACCTTGACAGGCAGACAAAACGATGGATAATTTTCTGCAATTATTACTTTAAATACAACGTGTTTTCGAGTTTCTTTTAAAACATATCGGCATACAGATCTTCTCATGCTTTACGGTCAAAATTCTTCTTCACATAAACAGTAATCTTGTACAGTATCCGTTATGAACAGGAAACCATTCAACTGTGAAATGAATAGTGAATAGGTATTAAATTACGTATACTGTGTAGTAAAATCTTACTATAAGGGAGGGGGTTCTCTAGTATATTCTCGATTTCTCGAAAGATCCTCTTTCCAGAGGGGTTATTAGATTGGTTTGTCCTTGACCATGCAGGAACTACGGCTATTATTATCTACTGTCATCCAGGTGACCATATGTCTGAGAGGGGACACACGCTATACCAGGGAATTTGAGGTAAACTTAGCCAGGAAGTCCCCACCGGCATTGTCCTAATTTTTGTGGATATAAATTATTTATGAGGATTTTGCAACACGCATATAAGTTTATACTGTGGCAGCATTCTCGATGAGTTATAAACTTGGAATATTCTCAGTTTTTATGCAATTTTTACTACATTTTTAATACATATTTTTTTTACAGAAAGAAGTTTGAGCAATAACTGGAACGTTTTATAAGCTCATTCGACGAATAAAAGTCGAACAAAATAAAAACCATTCAATTGTTTTTTTTTTTTATTCTATAGGGTAGTAGGTCTACTGTTGCAACATTAAGTTCTTTCTACTATAGCAACAATTTTTTTTTTCTTTGCTCTCAGTTATCAGAATTAAGACATCAGCATACGGAGATGTTTGTATTTTGAGGACGTTAACATCAACATAATCCGATCAATATTTATTCACGATATTTAGATAATACATCATTATCTATAATAAAGAGTTAAAAATGAAACAAAGTTAAGAACAAAATGGCATCTAATTCGCATTATTGTTTGTAAAGATAAAGAATGAAAGGCATGACGTATGTATCGCAATTTATACAAAATATTTCCGTAAATATTATTTGCCCATGGGCACCTGATGCCACAACGTCACAGACCGGTGACGTTCAATGGTGCATCTAAGAGCAGACTCCAGATGGTTGTTTGACGTAGAGACGTAGCACAGTCATTCACACGGGTACTTCAACACCTGGCGAACATCCTGTGGATTACTTGTACATTCTGCATGCGACCTATTGTTATACTAAATCAGCATTACGTGTTTAATACAACTTTCCAAATTTACACGTGAGTATTTCGTGAAAAAATGAAAAATTATTTTGCAATGATGTCGTTTGTTATTTTAGCGGCATTCAGTCGATTGGTTTGTTGTTTTTTTCTTCCTTTTTTTAAATATAATTTGGGGTAAATATATGTAAAAAAATTAATGGTTTCAATTGTTTTATGCACAATTGGGTCGTCAGAGATGATGGCAATTAGAATGTGACAATGAGTTAATTAATTGTTACCTTGGTAGTACACTCACGCTCGTTTAGATTCTTAATGATTTATCTTTAGAAACCGAGAAATCATGGCTATATGGTAAAGTAGTACCATAATTAATGGTGCTAAGCTAATTTTGATTAATTAAATGAATAAATTATTCGTATAGCAGCACTATATTTTAAAATTAAAACTTCAATAACTTAATATAAATACTAATAAATATTATTTTTAAATTTTTATTCATTTCTTTTACTGAAAATTAATATAAAAATTGTTTTTTTACTGCTATATTTTATGATTAAAAATGATTCATACCGGTTTCAAAATATCTATACAGGTAACATTGTAGACTTAATGCTCTCGTAACATATATAATCAAGTCTAGAATATATTTAATATGTTTATAATAAATCTTAATAATATCTATTAAGATGGGTTTTAATATAAGAGTAATTTTTCATAGTTTTAAGTGGGGCGTCGCTTGTCGCCTCTGGTGCGATGCGCCGAGCAACGCGATTCGCGAACCCACGCTTTGACCTGTCGACCAAGCGCACCGTTCGTGACCTTTATCTTCGGCTGATGGCTTTGAGAGAGATTTCGTAACTTATGAAAGGACAAAATTACTGAGGCTTCATAAAAGATAATATTGAAAAGATATACAAATATATCAATTGTCGCGCCACCGCGTCGCTCCCACGCGACCGGTTTATTTCTGCCTGACACGCTTTACATTCAGGCCTACAGATTTTTTTTTTCACTTTTTCAAATGACTGAACCGCGTCAAGAATAACACGCCCGATTTCGTTATATTCCTATAATTTAATTTATCACTGTCATTTGTGTCGGTAAGTTATTAAATTGAAGTACAGTAATGTATCTAGACGATACAGATCATGTTCGAAATTTCTTTGTCGTAGCAAAAAACAAAATTTTCATGCGTTATATATCGGTAAATAAACATTTTATGTTTATAGATTTGTTTTTTACGTTTAAAACTTTTTATTTATTAAAATAATTTATTTATGTTGAGAATAGACCCTAATTAGCGCATCCTCAACTCTGTTTAGTTCACAAAAAAGGATTTTAAACTTTGCAAAACACAATATATCAATATTTAGATCAGAAGATATATTTTATCGTCTCATTAAAATTAATAAGAGAGAATCATCCTTACAAATGCCTTATCTATTACGATTCTGATCATTTTTTTCATATCTGATAAAGTTTCAACTTCCCAATGAAATATGGCGACGAGAAGACGATTGAAAAAATCAACTTTTCAGGAAAGCTGTAATAATAAATAAAATAAAACAGTAATAATTAAGTTTGATCGAATCGAAGAGCCATTTTACTTCTATATTAATTACTTGTGAAGTAAATAAATGCATAATTCATAGCTCAAAACTGATTACAAAGATAAACACACATGATCATTTCTAAATCCAATTGTCCCAATTATGACTTCCTTAAAGTTCAGATATGTATCTATTCATTCAAGCAATGACAGGATTTTTGAAATTTCCCATTTGTTCTGATGGCAGATTGTAGAAATTCTTACAGTTCACATTATTTCCTATGAATCTAATTAACCCTTTGAAAAGCTATGATAAAGCTTCCATTGAAAAATTAATATCTTAATAAATAGGAAATATTTCACAAGTTTTGCAATTTTAGTGACTAGAATAAGATTTACATATCAAATTTTTCAATAAATATAAACTCAGGATGAAATTTTTTTGCTTGAGGCAACATTTTGGAAATTTTTTAGACATTTGTTTACCTTGACATCTCTTTAGTAAATATATTTAAAACATCATCTTCCCATAAACAACTACAAATATATCAAAGAAACCATACGATAAATATAATAATTGCTAAAATGGATTTTCAAATTATATATTTTTTAAAAATAATAGTTCTAACCTAACCTAGAATTTGGGATTCGTCAATCGTCTTTCCGTCGCCATATTGAATCTAGAAGTTAAAGCTTTGATAGCAGCTATTAAATCAGATTAGTGGTGTTAGAACCATTAAATTTGTTTACATAGTAAGAGATTTAATTATTGTTTATATTGCATATCTGATGAAATAGGTAGCAGTTGCACTACTTTTTTAATAAGAAATTTGCATATATTTTCTTACAGAAATTAGAAACTTGTGCAAATTCCTTATAAAAATAGGCATATTTTATATATTAATTCAATTGTAATTAAATTTCTTAATAAGTATAATTATTGTATAAAAAAATTGAATAAATTTTGAATAATTTTCAGACGCAATAAAAACTCTTTCATTTAAATTTATTCTGCTGAATAATTGTTTGATTTTATACTTTAGAATGTAATTGGAATTTTATGAGTCACGCTAATTAATATTCTTGAATAGAACTTTTCAAGTCAACAACTGTATTAAATATTTTAAAGGTGAAGTCTATTAATAATGTATTTATTCATACTTTTATAATATAAATTTTGTTTTATTTTTTGAATTTTATATAAATCAAGGTTATTTTTTACTTTAAAAAAATCAATTTCGATTTTTAATTACAAACTTGATATACTTTTTCAATATATTAATAACATGTAAATTATAAAAGAAATTTTATACTTTTTAAAGTAGAAATAAATCTCTAACTCCTCTTCACCGTTGTAGTGTAAAATTGTATAAAGTTTAAGAAATATACAAATTTTAATTAATCATAATTAATTTTACCTTTCTTTTCTATCTGCTCTGAAGAAACAATTAATTGATTTACCAAAGCACTAATTCTTTAATTATTCATTTAATTTAAACAACTTTATAAACTTGTTATAACTTTTAATAGTTTTAAATTATATAAGACTAAAAACAAGTTTAGGAATGTTTAAACTTTTATTTCATTAATATGCATTTCATTGTGATCTTTTATAGGGTTGAAAGTTTTTACAATAACTTTAAAATTCTATAATGGCCCAAAAATCAGTTAACCACTGTAAAGACTTCATGAATATAAAAATAAGCAGACATTATTTATATGTATATATATAGTAAATTTAAAGGAAAATATAAAATTATATGCTTAAAATATTAAATAATAATTTATTTTATGGATTATTTAAGGTATATTTTAAGCAAAATGTTTATAATTATAGGTTATAAGGAGGAAGGGTGAATGAATTTAAAACTAATTTCTTTTGTGTTATATTAAAAATGTTAATAACTGAAACTTTATCTATTTTTATTAAGAATTTTGTTCAGAAGATTTTGAGAAAATATTAATCATTTATCTATTTTTTTTTTTCTTTTTTTTATATTAAATAGCTTCCTTGTGAGTATGTCAAAGCCAGAGATAACTTTCCAAGAATCTCTAGCTTTGGAATATTATTGCACCTGATCTGTGTGTTGCATATGTTAGATTAATCTCCATTAATTCTAATATAATTTTGTAAGAATAATATAAAATCGAAATTATATATTAAATGAAAACAGAAAATTTTACAAATAATTATTAGAATTTTTAATGAATTTCGCTTATGACTTTTAATATTCATGATACAGTACTTATTTTCGCAAAAATAGGTCAATTTAGCTTATAGTCAGGCACTAACAGGTGCGAATGTTGCAGAAAATATTTCAAAAAAGTGGAAAAAAATTGTGTTTTCTCCTTGCTAAGTATATTATTTATAATCAGTCAACCCGTTGACGTACGCGACAATTATCTTAGCGCTTTTAACTATGAAAGCGCGATTAGAGATAGTGTAAATTTTGTAATTTCCATTGATGCCGACGTGACAAACTCTTTGTTATGGGGTCGAATTTTCACTTTTGTTCACTCTGACACCTGGTTGACGTTTTGCGTCGTCATAAATAACCGGGTCGTGTGTGGAAATTGGCTATTTGTGCCAGTAGAAAACAGGAATTTCCTGGTTTTTACTTCTTTGCGGATAGATATCCGTTGGTGATAACTCATCCAAAAAATTACAAAAAAATTGACATTTATACCGGCCATATTTGTGGCTCACACGACCTCGGGCTATACAGGATGTACGCTTTACTGAATTTTTTCTATTGATGAATGAAAATAAACTTTTAATGACAGCTTCTAAGATCGTATATTACTTGAAAGCAGTCAACGGACGACATAATAATGTAATATTTTTAAAAATTAGTTGTTTACTTTTCACTTTATAGCGCCATCTTTTGATAAAACAAGAAAGTAAATTCTCAATTTTTTTCCTTTCATATTTATGTTTAGTTATTTTAAATATTTAACTTATCCTGTCTCTAATAAAAAACAAATTATAAATATATATTAATTTTATTTTTCAGATATTTTATTTAAAGTAATAAGAATGGTTATTATACCGCCATCTTTCGGTGTGAAGGTGAACTTTTCCAGTTTTCTTATTGATCGCTAAAAAAGAAACTATAAAATATGCCAACTCTACATCCGAAAATGCCTGAAGTGCCAATTTTACATCGTGCCTTAGTAGCTGCCAGAGAAGGGGACTTACAAGGATTGCAGCTACTTAAAAAAAATCAAGATTTATCTTCGTCGATACATGACGAATTTGGTGCCACTTGTGTACATTATGCAGCCAGAGGCGGGAACGTTAAAGTATTAGATTATTTAATAAACTCTTGTGGGATGAAAGCCACATCTAGGTCCTACGTGGGTGCCACACCTGCCCACGATGCAGCTGCTATGGGTAAAATGTCCGCGTTGTTGTGGTTATTAAAGCATACGGACTGTACACTATGGGACAGAGATAAAGACGGCGCCACAGTTCTACATGTTGCTGCCAGGTAACTTTCAAACCATATATTTTCGAAGTTAGTTAGTTTTTGTTGTTATTAATAGATGGCGCTGCGTGTTTGTAGCGACATCCATCATTTACATGGCGCTAGAAATGTGTAGCGCCATCTATATTGGCTAATGTATGTAGCAAAATGTCTATTCGAGTGAATTTTCTAGTTGTTGCTAAAATCAGAATAAATTATTATTTTTATCTACTTAAAAATATTTATAAAGAATTTAAATTTTTTTTAATGTTAATAAAGTGCATTTCAAGATGACATTATGATTTCATGCATTAAAATGAATAGCTATTGTATTTGCAGACAAGTAATGCAATAATAATAAATGTTTTCAGCTATATTGCTCAATACTACATCAGTTCAAATAATCTTTGCTAAAGTGTTGAATTTAAATTTTTTTTAATGTCTCTTGCCTTTCAAATTTGATTTGGATTTAGATAAGTTAGTAATGTTGTGTAATAATATACATTTTAAGTTTATAAATCTCATTGTCATGCTTTGTTGTAGTGAATTAAAATGATATAATTTGCGTGATTGAATCACAAATTATTCAATTTAGTATCACGAATTGTAAAATCGAATTCCGGCTTTCAATATCCGCTATTGTAAAACTCATTACAATTACATCGTTAAACATTATTCAAATTACAGTGTACAGAGGAAGGTTAAATGAGAATATTCTCTGTTTGATCAGTGTATTATTGGACAAATTACAGAAATTTGGTTCGATTGTTCAGTACAGTACTTTCTTTAGAGAACTAGATGATGATCCATCATTTTATACTGGTTGATTTTTATGTAGAGTTAATAGGTGAAGTTGAATCAATAAAATATTTTGTAATTTATATAATATAATAAATGTCCTAGTCCATTTTTATTGGGATAAAAAAATCTATAAAAAATGTCTTTAAAGATGTAAAACAGATTTATTTAGTGAATTTTAATCATTAAAAAATTAATTACAATTAAAGATTTGTTAATTCAAATCACTTTTGACGAAACGAAATTATTTAAATAACTGTTATAAAGATTGGAATTTCCACTTTTGTTACTTTTCCGGCTGTTATAACATAGGGAAAATATGGCGGTCCGGAAAAAAATGACTCCCCGAGATTTTTGCTTATTTGGACTCAGGGACACCTTGAAACGTCGAGAAATGCAAACAAATTTAGGGAGTAATTTCTGTATGTTTGGATGTTAGTGTGTGTGCGTGGTGCACGATTTTGTTCATCCTGTTTGAAGCTTAATAACTGCTGTGCTTTTTGTCGAAAATTTCTGAAATTTTGCAGGGAGGTTTGTGTATTAGAGGGATTGACGCTATTAAATTTTGGTGGCTAAAGGTCAACGGGATAGGGAGATAGAAGGGAGTCGTGTGTGGTTGGACTTAATGACGATTTTACTCGTTAGCATTTACAATTTTTAATAAAACCATCCCTACCCTCAAAATTAAGTTTTTTGTCATTTTATAATAGTTAAAAATATAAAATATTTTAAATATGATAATAGATGGCGCCACCAAAATTTTAAGTGTCGAAAAAGTTAAGCAACTCGCTGGTTGTTTATTTTTGTAACTGTTCATTGGCTCTATTTTTCGAACGTTTCGAACTTTAGAACAATAGTGATAATGTTTCCAATACAAATTTTCTCGAATTAAACTTGTAACATGTATTTTAAGTCAATGTATCACATGAAAGTTTTTTTTTTTTGCTTTAATATGCTTATTTATTTATAAATAAAACCTTATTTTATTATTTATCATCTTAGAAAGAGTTTTAGTTTAGTTAAATTTTTACATAAAACAGGGTCAGGAAATCCTTTAGGCGTGAGGAGAGACAATGATAAAAATCCCTTTTCCACCCTTACTTTCCTTAAAGCATTTCTCTGATGCTATAATTTTGTTATTTAGTGACTCGTCTAGGGTCTAATACTTTTTCTGATTCAGAGAAATTTATCCCTGCCAACCCTTTAGCAGAGCTGTCGAGAGGTTGTCTGAAGCCCGGGGGTAGAGCGGTTCTTTTTGCTATTGTTTTTTTTTTCTTTTGAACAGATGAAATGCACTGAATGTGTCTTCATTAATAAAAAGCAGTTTAAAGAGTTTTTGTTAGTAAAAATAAGATTAATTCATAGGAATAGAACTAATAAAGGCTGTTAAATTTTCTCCAGTTCCTCCCTCATCAAGACCCTGCTCTTTAGTTACTTCTGTTCATATTCAGCTTGAATGGTATTTTTTTATTTCCCTACTTATTTCTTAATAAATTGGGGAAATAAATAAATAAACAAACATTAAAAGTTTTTTTTAATATAAATTTACTCGGTAATTCTCACTGTTAACAAAATTTATAAGGTATGAAGACTTGTGTTATAAATTCATACCTTATAAATTTTGTTTTTACAATTTTTTTTGTGTAATTTACTTTAATTTTTANGCAAAAATTTTTTTTTTCTTTGCTCTCAGTTATCAGAATTAAGACATCAGCATACGGAGATGTTTGTATTTTGAGGACGTTAACATCAACATAATCCGATCAATATTTATTCACGATATTTAGATAATACATCATTATCTATAATAAAGAGTTAAAAATGAAACAAAGTTAAGAACAAAATGGCATCTAATTCGCATTATTGTTTGTAAAGATAAAGAATGAAAGGCATGACGTATGTATCGCAATTTATACAAAATATTTCCGTAAATATTATTTGCCCATGGGCACCTGATGCCACAACGTCACAGACCGGTGACGTTCAATGGTGCATCTAAGAGCAGACTCCAGATGGTTGTTTGACGTAGAGACGTAGCACAGTCATTCACACGGGTACTTCAACACCTGGCGAACATCCTGTGGATTACTTGTACATTCTGCATGCGACCTATTGTTATACTAAATCAGCATTACGTGTTTAATACAACTTTCCAAATTTACACGTGAGTATTTCGTGAAAAAATGAAAAATTATTTTGCAATGATGTCGTTTGTTATTTTAGCGGCATTCAGTCGATTGGTTTGTTGTTTTTTTTCTTCCTTTTTTTAAATATAATTTGGGGTAAATATATGTAAAAAAATTAATGGTTTCAATTGTTTTATGCACAATTGGGTCGTCAGAGATGATGGCAATTAGAATGTGACAATGAGTTAATTAATTGTTACCTTGGTAGTACACTCACGCTCGTTTAGATTCTTAATGATTTATCTTTAGAAACCGAGAAATCATGGCTATATGGTAAAGTAGTACCATAATTAATGGTGCTAAGCTAATTTTGATTAATTAAATGAATAAATTATTCGTATAGCAGCACTATATTTTAAAATTAAAACTTCAATAACTTAATATAAATACTAATAAATATTATTTTTAAATTTTTATTCATTTCTTTTACTGAAAATTAATATAAAAATTGTTTTTTTACTGCTATATTCTATGATTAAAAATGATTCATACCGGTTTCAAAATATCTATACAGGTAACATTGTAGACTTAATGCTCTCGTAACATATATAATCAAGTCTAGAATATATTTAATATGTTTATAATAAATCTTAATAATATCTATTAAGATGGGTTTTAATATAAGAGTAATTTTTCATAGTTTTAAGTGGGGCGTCGCTTGTCGCCTCTGGTGCGATGCGCCGAGCAACGCGATTCGCGAACCCACGCTTTGACCTGTCGACCAAGCGCACCGTTCGTGACCTTTATCTTCGGCTGATGGCTTTGAGAGAGATTTCGTAACTTATGAAAGGACAAAATTACTGAGGCTTCATAAAAGATAATATTGAAAAGATATACAAATATATCAATTGTCGCGCCACCGCGTCGCTCCCACGCGACCGGTTTATTTCTGCCTGACACGCTTTACATTCAGGCCTACAGATTTTTTTTTTCACTTTTTCAAATGACTGAACCGCGTCAAGAATAACACGCCCGATTTCGTTATATTCCTATAATTTAATTTATCACTGTCATTTGTGTCGGTAAGTTATTAAATTGAAGTACAGTAATGTATCTAGACGATACAGATCATGTTCGAAATTTCTTTGTCGTAGCAAAAAACAAAATTTTCATGCGTTATATATCGGTAAATAAACATTTTATGTTTATAGATTTGTTTTTTACGTTTAAAACTTTTTATTTATTAAAATAATTTATTTATGTTGAGAATAGACCCTAATTAGCGCATCCTCAACTCTGTTTAGTTCACAAAAAAGGATTTTAAACTTTGCAAAACACAATATATCAATATTTAGATCAGAAGATATATTTTATCGTCTCATTAAAATTAATAAGAGAGAATCATCCTTACAAATGCCTTATCTATTACGATTCTGATCATTCTTTTCATATCTGATAAAGTTTCAACTTCCCAATGAAATATGGCGACGAGAAGACGATTGAAAAAATCAACTTTTCAGGAAAGCTGTAATAATAAATAAAATAAAACAGTAATAATTAAGTTTGATCGAATCGAAGAGCCATTTTACTTCTATATTAATTACTTGTGAAGTAAATAAATGCATAATTCATAGCTCAAAACTGATTACAAAGATAAACACACATGATCATTTCTAAATCCAATTGTCCCAATTATGACTTCCTTAAAGTTCAGATATGTATCTATTCATTCAAGCAATGACAGGATTTTTGAAATTTCCCATTTGTTCTGATGGCAGATTGTAGAAATTCTTACAGTTCACATTATTTCCTATGAATCTAATTAACCCTTTGAAAAGCTATGATAAAGCTTCCATTGAAAAATTAATATCTTAATAAATAGGAAATATTTCACAAGTTTTGCAATTTTAGTGACTAGAATAAGATTTACATATCAAATTTTTCAATAAATATAAACTCAGGATGAAATTTTTTTGCTTGAGGCAACATTTTGGAAATTTTTTAGACATTTGTTTACCTTGACATCTCTTTAGTAAATATATTTAAAACATCATCTTCCCATAAACAACTACAAATATATCAAAGAAACCATACGATAAATATAATAATTGCTAAAATGGATTTTCAAATTATATATTTTTTAAAAATAATAGTTCTAACCTAACCTAGAATTTGGGATTCGTCAATCGTCTTTCCGTCGCCATATTGAATCTAGAAGTTAAAGCTTTGATAGCAGCTATTAAATCAGATTAGTGGTGTTAGAACCATTAAATTTGTTTACATAGTAAGAGATTTAATTATTGTTTATATTGCATATCTGATGAAATAGGTAGCAGTTGCACTACTTTTTTAATAAGAAATTTGCATATATTTTCTTACAGAAATTAGAAACTTGTGCAAATTCCTTATAAAAATAGGCATATTTTATATATTAATTCAATTGTAATTAAATTTCTTAATAAGTATAATTATTGTATAAAAAAATTGAATAAATTTTGAATAATTTTCAGACGCAATAAAAACTCTTTCATTTAAATTTATTCTGCTGAATAATTGTTTGATTTTATACTTTAGAATGTAATTGGAATTTTATGAGTCACGCTAATTAATATTCTTGAATAGAACTTTTCAAGTCAACAACTGTATTAAATATTTTAAAGGTGAAGTCTATTAATAATGTATTTATTCATACTTTTATAATATAAATTTTATTTTATTTTTTGAATTTTATATAAATCAAAATTATTTTTTACTTTAAAAAAATCAATTTCTGTTTTTAATTACAAACTTGATGGGCGAAAATTCAGTGAACGTG